CTTAAGAATATTAGCGTAACATTCTCCAGGAACTTCCCATCAACGGTAGGAAACAGTTTAGACTCATATACCTATTGGAGTATCAGGGAGCAGTTTAACCTCATATACCGATTGGAGGATTATTGCCGTTCTTATTTGGCTTATCCTAGCGTTATGACGCCGGCTTCAACCAAGGTTTGGATGCTATTCTTTAAAGTAAAGCAAGCCTTGGTGGGATGAAGGATCCTCCTGTGGTACGCGCAGTACTTCGGATCTGTAGTATCTCCCGTTTCCTCCTGATTTGTGATGGGCGGCAGCTTGATCTTGTTGTTTTCAAGAAGGGTCTCGAAGATGGCTGAAACGTCTTCGTCCTTGAATGAGTACTCTTTTTGGAGCCTCGAATCCGAACTATTCTGCTGTCTTCGGAGCTGTTGTTGTGACATTTGATTAACGTCAACAACTGTTGTAGGTGCCTTCCCTTCATCATGGGACACGAGACTCGAATTCAGAGGGTCGACCATCGGTTGGTTTCTTTCGACCTTCCTCCTTCTGAGGAAGCGTTCGGCCTGTTCTCCGCGCACATTCAATTCTTTCCAGGTATTGAGCGGCTCTACTCCCATAACGTCCAAGATGTTAATGGACAAGTTATTATGACAGGTTTGCAAGACAAATTCCTCCGTGATGGGATCCTTGCAGTTCATTGCCTGATTGCGAAAGCGTTTGATGAAGGTATCCACCGACTCTCCATCTTTTTGTTTCTCATCGAAGAGTGTCCTTATCGACACTTCGGCGTCATCATCGAAGAAATGAGTGAGGAACATGCTTTCCAGGTCCTCCCAGCTGTTGATGCTTCCGGGCTTGAGGCGGCGGTACCAATCGAAGGCGGGCCCGCGAAGGGTGCCAACGAATGACCGAACCATCAAAGGCTCGTTGCCAGAGATCACCCCCAAGTGGGACTTGAAATAAATCAGATGCTGAGTGGGGGAACCCTTCCCGTCGAACGGCGTGAAGTTGATCAGGTTGAACTTCACCGGATACGGGATCGATTCCCATTCTCTTGGGTAAGGACATGGGATCCCGGTCTTCTTCACCTCTCGAGCAGACATCAGAGCGTCGATTTTGCTCTCGAGGTCCTTCATCTTTTCGTCATCATCTATATCAGATCTTGGGCGATTCCTGAGAGGAATAACGGGGCCACCCCCAGCATTATCATCTTTAGTGGGACCACCCCCAGCGTTGTTATCTGTAGGGTGTGCATTTGAACCACACCCGGTATTTTTGGGAGGTGCGTCGGCCATGATGATTTCGTCCACTTCTGGATCGCTGTCAACTGCGGCGTTCTGGGTGCGACGGCTGGATTCAACTAGCTGATTTGACAAAGCTTGGATTTGTTGGTCGTGCATTTGTCTCATCTCCTGCATAACCATTTCCATTTCGATTTTGAATGTTTCTTTCTGCTTGGCTAGAGCATTCTCAATGATTTTGGCTATTTGCTCGGTGTTGATCATGAACACTTCCCGAGCTTGTCCTATGCTAGACGTTGTATCGTCAGAGGCGATTGCGGAATAAGAATCCGAGAGTTCGTCGTCAGAATGGATTCCTTTAAGGACTCCCTGGTAATCATTATGTCCAACGGCTTCTAGCTGAAGCTGAGATATTCGTTGGGTTATTCCCAAATTGACTTCTCTTCCTGGAGAAAAACTGGGGTTCGAGCTATTTGAACTAATCGGAGACTTCCCCTTATCGACAACGTTGATAGTAACCGCTGGGAGTTGGTCATCTCGAGCAACCGATCGTCTTTTGCGAAAACTCCTTGATTTGGGCTTTGATGCTTCAGTGGAGACCTTCTCAAATATCGAGACCCTCCGCGGAGCGGTCTTGGGGCAGCTACACACTGATAATACTGCCCTGATAAATTTATTACACGGACAGCGAGAGTCCGCTTCCCGGGTACCTCTCTTTCGAGATTTATTCGTACCCCCAGCCTGATAGTACAACTCATCGACATTGCGGTCGGAGTAACCTATCGGCTGCTTACATGGATTCTCAGGTATAACGCGTTCGTCTGTCTGACGTATTTTCCTCTGAGTAAACATTGCCTTGTTGGCGTCTGCAAGAGTCGCACGTTTGGAATCACACCTTTGTGAGGGTGAAACCTTAACGGGCTCCTGATTTTCTGCACACACCGCCAAGCGGGCCGTTGCAGAAATCAATTTGTTAGGAGGTCGCGTATAACCCCCAGTCCGGATGTTGGCTCGAAGCTCCTTCAACGAACTCAAGCTTTCCTTAACAGGCGCTTTTCCTCGATCCTCGGGTAGAGAACCGATGCGATCCTTCAATGGGACTCGAGCTTTGGGGAGATCCATGTTGTCATAGAGCTTCACCGGAAGTGCAGGAGCAGGGTCTGGAGTTGACGAAGGCCGGAGAGCAACGTCGCCTGCTTTTGCCTTAGGCGCTGATTTGGCTTTTGGCACCCAAACTTGTTTGGATCTCGGCGATCTCTTAACTACCTCTTCCTTTTGCATTTCCTGTGCTTTTCGCACAAGGGTCCGGGCATGCGCAAGCAAGGCACGACGCTTCTGGATTCGCTCCTCGAGAGTAGAGCAGGTTCTTTTGACACGAACTCATTCGTTAATTGGAGATCGAGAGGAGGATCCCGATGCTGGTCGTGGTGACAGATTAGCCACTTGGCGCTTTCTGAACTCCAGATCTGCTCGGTAACGGAGTCCGTCCACCTGATCCAAAGCCTTGGCCAATTGGCGCGCGAGGCGTTGGCGTTTCCTTTCACGTGCTCTCTTTGATAGAATTGGCGCGCCTTCAGCAGTCAACTCCTTAATCGCGAAGGAGTTCAGATCTGCAGATCTGGTCTCATTGGATGCCGGCAGACCGTTGCAAGGTACGACTGTAGCATCGGCTATGGGGAGATCGATTTCTTGGTTCTTCAGATCTGGAGACCGACGGATCTTCTGGGAGGAGGAAGCCTTCCTGCACCTGCAAGGAGAGGCAGATCTGGAGGAGGAGGCACTCATGCGCTTGCCAGGAGAGGCAGACCTAGAAGAGGAGGCACTCCTGCGCTTGCCAGGAGAGGCGGATCTGGAAGAGGAGGAGGAGACATACTCCTCGAACTTCTGCTGGTCGAACTCGTATTCGACCTCTTCGAGCACCGGGATCTTGATCATCGGCTGCGGCACGACAGCTCCGACAGCGAAGCTGTTGGCTCCCACTGTGGTCGCCAGTTTGTTTGCGGAGAAAGTTGTTTGTTTTATTGCGAGATTCATTACAAACTTCAGACGTTTACAACGAATACAAAAATCAGTCTTTTTATAAGACTTTTACACAATGAAAACAAAAAAAGTTTACAACTTTATCAAACAAACGCAGAGATCGTTTCTCGGTCTTCTGCTTGCGTGGGATCTTTGCCTGTGCCGGGGTTTATCCGTGGACCACCGTCGATCAGATCTGATTGCTGAAAAATTGGGCAGAGCTTCGTCTATCCGTGAAGGGATCGAGAAATCGTAGCTCTTATCTCGACGAAGCGAGATAATCACTCTTCTTAAGATTACCACAACGGGATAATCTTAAGGAACGAACCCAGGAAACTGCAGATCTGACGAATCTCTGTCTCTTGCGTTGAAGAACTCGATCCGATCTCTCCTCCTCCTCTCTAAAATCCGTGCACCTTCAGTCTTCAATCCGGCAGAGCTTCGCCTAATCTCCAAAATTCCCGCCTTTCAAAAATGAGACCTAAGGCTTGTATTTATAGGCTTGAGGGGATAACGGAGCGGTTAAAAACACTTAAAG